AGATTGATTCTTGCGTCGGACCTCCTTGCCCACACACATGATGACTTCCTGCTCCCCTTCATGGAGACATAGGGCATCGTCCCCGCTAAAGATGTCACGGTGGAGATAATAAGGGGGAAACAAATGTCTCTCTGACACTCTTGCCTTTACCTTCAGTGGCCACACGGTCTGTACTCTCCCCGTGCTTCCTTTTTGCGGGATGTTCAAGGGGAGAAACTTGGTCACCTTGAGGGGAAAAGGAACCACCAGCATGGGCGCCAAGTTTAGCTTATTCCTAGATCTTGGCAGCACACCCTTTGGGCGCTTTTTGTCCAGCTTTGCCCCTTAGCTTGAGCAGACGTTCTTCAAAAGTGGCCATTCGACCTACAATCTAAAAAGGGAATAATTTAGTCTTCAAAACAAAACAGACAAACATCTAATACGGGCATGTCCCCTACCTAAGAGCTCTAAGGACTCCTTGCCAAATGAGCACTCGAGGATCATCTTTGTATTTATGAGGCGGGCAACAACCATGTGATCCCCCTCATTATCAAAAATAAATTTATTGTCTGAGTCCACGCATTTGGTCGGGGAGAAGCTTTTTACGTAGGCCGCCAATTTATCGTAGACAAGCCTATCATGAGCATCCAAATTCTCGGGCTTTATTGAATATCTGGCTTCTGCTCATAATGCATCCACTTCAACTCAAGGGGGAATCTCGCCCGAAACTTAGTCACCTCCCAACCATCCTTGATATCGACGGTACGCTCGTACATGGAGTCCACAGCCGCGTATGACAGTGGCTTCACGATGTAAAACCTTTCCTTGAAATGTCGGACGTACTCTAGATACGGTCGAAACAACTTTTTATGCTGCTTGAACGACACCTGGGCTTAGAGACCCCCGGCCGTTTGCCCTTGGAGGTGGAAGATCCAAAATAAAAGAGGTAAAGTAGCATTAATATATATGATCACAAATTCTCGGATGAACGTGAGCACATTCGAGTGGAGCTGGGAAGGCACAAAGTGCAACCATCTGAAAACTCCAACTTGGAAAGCTGTAAAGGGCAGGCACATTCCTGCCTCCTTAAAAGCGAACTCGTATATTAGAAAACTCTTGCGCGGGTAGGCTGAACAGATCCTCCAACTCTTGTACGGAATGAGAATTGACTAAGAGGAAGGAGCATCCTCGGCCTTATCCTTGACAACATTGAAGGCATTCGAGGCATCATGGACAAATTCAGACATCAGATTTTTGGGCTCGGGCTCAATTCAGTCTAAATTGTTTCCCGCGTTTTCATTGTTTCCTGCCTTGGCATTTTCTTCACCCTGAGGACCGAGAAAATTCATCTCCTCGACCGGTTGAGCCATCTAACCTGAAAAATAAGGGAAAATAGTGAATTCGACATCATCGAATCCATCCTTCCACCGCAAATCAAGTGAAAGGGCGAGGAACACTTCGAGGGGAGGTCCTCGACTCAAGACCTTGAAACCCACGAAGGAAGCAACCCCCTCAAGCGAGCATAAGATCACGAGGAGAGGCGGCTCGCCCATATCTACCTAGTTCGTGAGGGGTTAATCCCCGACATGGAGTCATATTTTCCATATCTACCAAATTAATGAGGGGTCAGTCCCCGACATAGATCCACATGAAGTTCATCCAAAACTCAGGAACCTTCATATGAAACTCATGGATCTTCGTCCAGAGTCCATGAAATTCACCGAAAGTGTCATGAATCTTCATGAACACTAAAAGTGTTATGAATCTTTATGAACTTCATCAGAAACTTAATGAAGATTCATGAAACTTCACCCAGAACTCGTGAATTCTCCAGAAAACTTCATTCAATCATCTAAAACCCTAAAGTAAACTAACGAAGCTTGAATAAAATCACTCACTTGGAAACAAAAGAACGCTGGAAAACCTACGACGGTGAAAACAACGACATAGCAGCTTGCAAACAGAGGAGGTGCATGAGGAGAGTGAAAGTGAAAATGTTCAAGAGAATTCCTTCATCCCTTTTTTATAGCTAGTCCTCACCACACGGGTAGCGTGCCAGGAGTCATCATTGCTTAGGCCTTTAGGTTTCCCCAGGAAATGATGACAATTTGAACAACTGCCACGTGTGACACGTGAAAGGACGTGTCGTTTAAACTTCAAAGAATATCACGTGAAGCCACACGCTGATGCAAGGTCTTAAGACCTTCACCAACGAGCACGTGCCCGACATAGTTGTGACACTCTCCTCGGGGAAAGGAGCTCAAAAGAGATTCCTGTGATTTTCCCGCGAACGCGAAACACTCTCTCGCAGGCACCACAAGAAGACAAGCTCGAGATTCCTGCGCTTTCTCCACTAACGCGAAGCACTCTCTTACGGGCACCTCGAGGAGACTAGTGCGCGAAGGCAGGAAGTCAACACTCAGTCAAGGAAAATTCTTCAAAGGTTACTCGCAACCAAGGAGAAGGGAGAGGAGGTCAATCAACTGAAGACCATATTTCCTCGATCCGAAAATCAACCTTTCCCTCGGGCAACGTCTCCTCGACCCAAAAGAAACTATGTTCTTCGAGCAACGTTTCCTCGAGTTAAAATAACACTCTTTTTCAAGCAACATTTCCCCGACAACCCAACTGACCTTAAGTTATCACTCTCTCGTCTAAGAGCAATAACTTAGGGGCTCCTGTTCTGGGTCAGGCTGGCACTTGACCCACAGATGGGAAGGCCCAATCCAGCACCTTTGTCTATGGCCCAATAGTTTCAGGCCCAAGTCAGATAGCCGTTGGGGATTTCCCCACATGACCATTAAAGAGCGTGGTCAAGAGTCACATCAACCACCACTTGTCCTCCAAGAATAACGGGCCCACCGCCTCTATATTTTTAGGGCACTTTATCAGGAGAGAGCCACGTGCTGGATCCCATTACCCATGTAACCTTGACAATCCTTGTTATTGGGCCAAAAATTGGCCCAATACATGGATCTTGGCCCAGCGTTAGGGGCTATAAATAGCCTCTCACATGAGAGGGTCAAGTATTCATTCATTCAACCTCACTTCTATTACTTGCACTCTGATTGTCTAGACTCTTACTTTGGCATCAGAGTACCTTGCAGATACCCCCTATTCACTTCAACAGTCGTCTCATTCAAGCTTGTGGGCGTTGACGATTCCTTCTGATCAGATATGATCAATATTTATATCATATTTGTTTGGTCATAGAGTCATCAAAGGGTATAATTCTAGATCGATTACCTATCGTACAAATAGTAATCATATAGTATAAAATTGATTGTTTTGCACAATTTTAAACAGTATCGCGAAACGTCTTAAAGAGAACAACTTAGTCTGTAACTCGACCCGATAATTTTTTTTAGTGACAATTCTTCAAAACCATAAAACAACATTTATTCTACTTTAATATATTACACAAAATTGCATAATTTGGGTCTAGTTTATTGAGTTTGAGATATACGCCTAATATTTACTACTCCCTCCGTTCTTTTTTAAATGTCATTTTTAAAATAATTTTTTTGTTCCTTCTTAATTGTCGCTTGTAAAGTTTAAGGTAGTATTAATTATATTTTTGTCAAAATTAGTCCTAGTCATTTATTGTAGAAAGAGAAAAAAAATCAAATACATATGACAAATAATTAAAGATATTATAGATAAAAAAAATTATTATATAAAAAGTAACAATAATGATTAACTTTCTTGACATGTAAAAATGAAGAAAAAAATGACATTTAAAAAGGAATAGAAAGAATAATATACATTAGTAATTGGACATAACACGATGGTTTAATAGTTTTTAGTGGCATGTTGAATTAGCCTGTGATTTTTTGTTTTACTTGGAGTATCTATGACAACTACTATAATTGTTATTTGAATGTTCTTTATGCTTTACCAATCATTTCGTCTTTTGTTAATGGAAGACTTCCAAACACTTGCTTCTTGTTAGTTGAAGGTTTCCAAACTCTTAATTATTGATAAATTGCATATCATGTTCACATTTACTAACTTATCCTATCTTGGTTTACTTATGCATAAAGATTAACCTTACTTTGAATTTCTAATTTTGTGACTATCATAGTGCTTCTTATTGTAAGTAACTATAATGAGTTGCACCTTAGAGCTGAAGCTTAAATTTGGTAGCTTTGGTCATGGGGTTGACATAAATTTTATAATAATGCGGAGCAAGGTGGCGTGGCTAAAGTATGGAAATTTAATATATTTATTTTTGTTACTGTTTATGGATTTTTAATGTCTCCTTTTGTATTTGTAGGCTAGAGTAATTTTGCTCAATATTTTGCACCCCTTTATCATCTCTATATTGATGTTAAATATTTTAAAATGTAATTTATTATTGGGACATAATTTGTCTTCTAAATCTGTATAATGGTTCATATGTTACTTATTTGGATAAAATCATAATTAAAGTGAAAAGAATATATAATACTCAAATGGACAAATAGTAGTGTGAAAGCAACATGGAGTAAAAATTCTGCAAAATATTTAAGAGGTAAAAGCATAATGAAGAAGACGTGAGAAATAAACATCCTTCTTTAAGTTATTGAAATGTCCTAAGATGCTTCATACTTTGCTTTAACAAAGGCCACTGCTGTCTCACCAAACAGATTAGCCTTTTGATGATGCAAGCAATTAAATTATAATAGCATAAAAATAAAAAAATAAAAAAATAAATAACTAAACATACTTTTAAAAAAGTAACAGGAGACCACCGACACCTGGTTTATTCAAAAACTTGGGATATGAAAGTGCAACCATCCAAACAAACGGCAGGACAAAACACACCTGCTCTGCCAGCTAACTGGTGATTATTATAAGCGACAAGAAGATTTGAAAAGGGAAGAAAATATTTATCATCAAGATGTTAAGATATTAAAATGATACAGTGTGTGGTGAATTTAAAATCAAGGCCATGGTGGGGTTCTGATTTGCCATACTGATGTAACTCAAACCTTCATTTGGTAGCATGCAAGCGGGTGAACCGCTTCTCAAGGACAAACATGGTAGGGACCTATAGGCAACAGCATCATCATCCCATTCATATGAAACACCATAAACACATCACAATAATCAGACCAGACACTAAGATAGCTGGAAAAACGGAATGGCTAAATCTTTTGAGAATATTAATATTAGAAAAGTTCACTAAAGATTCTTGTCTATTTTGGAATTCTGACAATTTCAACTTATATGGAAAAAGTTTAAATATCACAATCAGCTTCTTCCCTACAGGAACTCAGAAGGCATTTCATACCAAAATATCAGACAAAGTATCAGTATCAGTATCAGATATGGAATCTGGGGATGAAAATATGTGTACTTTTGCTGAGCAACATTGAATTGTCAAAAACAGCACACTTCAGTTGAGAGTTACATACTTTCAGTACAAACAGACAGATGAAGCTGACTTACTACTGGCTTGCAGTTATGCATGCAATCATCAGTTTAAAATACAAAAAACTCAGTCTCCAATTTAACCAAAAGGAGCTACGGATACAGACATAATCCAAATAGCAGTGTAGTACAAAGCTACTAGCTCTGCACTTTCACAACAAGTAGGAAGATAAAACATACAATGAGAAATCAGAAACCCTTTTGCCAAAACTAGGGTCATCATCTAAACTAAGGAAATTTAAAAACCTACTCAACCCAAAACTCATAGACAACCGTGCCTGTGTTTGGTACTGGGTTGGGTAAACATGCATGCATGCAGTTGAAGCATTACTTATCTTCAAAGCTATCACGCAGTGACACCACGCCGTGGATTTGATGAAATCAATCCAAACCTACGCCATGTAACTCCAGGTAACACAACAAATTGAAACGAGGTAAAGCAAAATGCCAAACCTAGCTATATTGATGCATCTAAAGGTCAGTCTATAGTCTTTTAGATTGCTAACTTCTTCTAACTTCAATAAACATCCTGCCAAGAATGTTTGCCACACTGTACAAACCAGACAGACAGACCACTATATACAATAATCAATTACATCGTATAATTAATTACCTTCCTAACTAATAACCCAAATACCCAATTACTTCTCTAAGAAGTTGAAGTTGATGCTTCTTGTCTTGATTCTCTCAAATATCGAAGGAGTGTCTCAGCCTGCAAAATGAAACAGAGGACTTAATTTCATCAAAAATGAAGATCCTGGTCTGTTCTTCCACAAAAGCCGCCAAATGCAATGATGGAAAAGAAATTAACAAGTTTCATTGAAAAATAATTTCGTCACAAGCACAACCATTCCTAAAGAAAGAATCAAAGTTTGATGAATTCAACTTCTCATTCAGCAATGTCAATCAAAATACTTTATTCACTGACTCAATTGTTTTAGAGAATACTCTGTATAATAATATGACCCCAAATGTTGCTACTTACAGGAACCTTGTCTGAGCAAAAAAACTAACATTCAAACATTTGCAAATAATAGAAAAAGGTTAATTGCCAAGTTTTAACACAGCTATGTACATAAGAGGAAAAACAGAACAGAGTCAAAAGATTTCAATTTCAACATAAAAATAAAGGTCAGATGCACAAAAAAGTCAAGATATCTGAATAACAGGGTCATAATATTAATAAATTAATATGCATATGAAGACAATTTAATCCTAAAGTATGAAGCAAAGTACAGAGATTGAAATCTACCTTATGCTTAGCTCGAGGAGTTCCATTCTGGGAAAGAGCTACAAGGGGAGGAATCCCACCCTCTCTAACAAGTAACCCTCTGCTTGTAACATTGTCAGCACAAAGCTGAAGAAGAGTCAAAACAGCAAATTCTTTTCCTTTCACAGACCCATCTTCAATGGCTTCCACAAGTGCCGCTATTCCACCTTCTTCCACAATCGCTTCCTTCCCTTCCTCAATCCCCGCTAAGCTATTCAACACCACCATTGCTTTCTCCATCATACCATTCCCTTGCTCCGCCACCAGCTCCACAAGCGGCTTCACCACACCGGCACTCACCGCTCTCTCCTTGTTCTGCTTAACAGAACAAAGCTTGTAAAGTGTCGTCAGCGCGTCTTTCTTCCCTCTGTTGGAACCGTTTAGTAGAAGCGAAACCAACGGCGGAATCGCCCCAGAAGCGCCAATTGAGCTCTTATTCTCTTCCACCAAAGCCAAGCTCAGAAGCGCACAAGCCGCGTTCTGCTTTGAAGTTTCCGTCCCTGTTTTCAACACATAAATCAACGATTTCACAGCTCCTGCATTGAATATTACCTTCTTGTTATCCTCGTGAAGCGACAGATTCAAAAGCGCGGTCACAGCATGTTCTTGCGTCCATGGATCAGTACATCTCAGCAGAGGAACCAGAAACGGCACCGCACCGGACTCACCAATCAGAACTCTATTATCAGCCCTATTCTTAGCAAGCAGCCTCAGCTTCGCCGCAGCAGAACGTTTCACCGCCACCGACGAAGACTGTAAACCATCAACACAAAGCTTCACCGTCGGCTGAAGATCCTCCGGCGAAATACTCTCAATAATCTCCGTCGAGAAATTCTCCCTCTGCAAAAACCCCATGCAAGGCTCCACCTCAACTTCCTCCCCACCATCTCCTCCACTATCACTCTTCCGATTACACTCCGGCGACGGCAGAGTCGCCAACCGCTGCAGCTCACCGGAAATATCACTACTACAAGCAGAATACTCACTAAAAGCCTGCGAAAGATCAAGAAGCTCCTGCTCAGTCGTAGACAACCTCCCGGATTTAATATTCCGGGAAGCGAGTTCACCGAGACGGAGGTCCACGACGGAATCGGTTAAATTCTCCGATACACACGTTGATCTCTCGGTAAACGTGCAACTACTGTTATCTTCATCAAAGATACTAGATCTTCTGGTTCGCATGGATCTTCCAATATTCCGCTGCGATTTCGAAGAAACAGACGAATGATTATGATACTGAAAGCTTCGCGGTAAAGGAAAACGATTCGAACTCGAACGAGATTCTTCTAGAGAAACCATTCTTGAAGCTTCACAAATTTGGATTAGGATTTAGGGTTTGTATTCTGAATTTCAAAGTTTTATTTCATAGTGTGAGTGAAGAAGAAGAAGAAGAAGAAGAATAACTGAATTTAATGTATTATTTTAATTTATGTGATTTATCATTTATGTGATTTATGTGAAATGAAATTGAAAGGCTGGTTTTTGCTGTGAGGGGTGGCGTTGATATAATCACTTGGCGTTTAGATTTGAAGAGGTGACGACCGGTGGAGATAAGGTGGGACCGGTTTTGGGAGACAGAATCGACGGTTGAGAGATTTTGATTGAGGTGATGGTACAATCGTCGACGTCAGTTAAAACGTCGTCGTTTTGTTGAAGTTTGTTTATTTACGGTGTGCGGGAAATGACTGAAATGTCTTGGTTTGTGGTGTTTTGCTTACAGTGTTGTCTTGGTTTGTGTGGGGACGTAGCAATAGGAAGATTCTGGTGTAAAGGAGGTGTAGAGAGAGACTCAGTTACAGTTGTCAAGAGTGAAGCGTGAGTAAATGGCACGTGTTGGAGTCATTAATGTGTGTTAACCGTGTTTGTTTGTTTTTTTGTGAAAAACAAATGAGTTGTAGTGTTTTTAATTCTAAACCACGCACAAGGAATGTTAGTTAGGGTTATGAAAATATAGCATAAAAAATCAAAAACCACCAAACCCAAACATAGAATGGTAGTATGATTGTCAATTGAAAAATGATATTGATCATTGGGTAAAGATTATCTACCTTTATGAAAGGAAATGTAGATTAAGTTTAAGCAAAATAATGTACAAGACAAACGAGAAATTATGTTTATTTTGGAGAGAAAAACCGTGTGTAGGAGAGAATTTAACAGGTGAATGTTCACATATGAGAGGTGTTGATGGAGTTCTTTCAGCTGGTGAGCCTATTTTCAAAAGGCCTCAAAATGGGAACTTGAATTCTGAGAGTTTGGGTCAATGGGAAAGCTTTCCACTAAATTCGATGAACTTGTCCTCTTTTTTCTTTACACGTCTTGGTTCTCGGATAGATATAAAACTTCAATTTTTCGTCTAAAAAGAGGACTACGAGTATTTCGTTAATAAGTTTGAAGTTGTTGTAAAAAAGAGATGACATATATGTTCTATCAGATGCGCAAGGTATCATGTATCTAGGCTTTCCGAATTATAGGTAACGGTGAAGTTTTAGTGTCCAAGTGTCTTTGAAAGGAAAGCAAATAGGTTTAACGAACATCTTGGTGCCCTTGGTATCGAGAGGATCTGGCTTTGTGTGAGCTTAATGGGTCGGCTAAATTCTTGAAGGAAATGGGGGGCGTGGTGTGATCGTTTGGGTATCCTTACTTATTACTTGAGAAAGTGATGCTCTAAGGATAAAAGAGAGGGGTATCACGCTCACGTTTGTTACAAAGACGATGTTCGATACATAAATTACTCTTACTAGCGTGAACAGAGCTTTAGATTATTCTCATAAGATCATAAGGGAGCTGGAGAAGTCCTTGGGTGAAGCCCATGAAGGTTTGAAGAATGCTCAAGATGATCTGAGCGGGGTGCAGTCTAAGAATATTCACTTTTCTAAAGAATATGTGAAGATCGTGGAGTTTAGTTACTCTATTATGAAAATGGCTTTCGAGAATTCCCATAAGCAAGTGGTATTTTTCCAACTTGAGATGTGAATATTGAGGGAGCGAATTCTTCGTGAGCATGAGATAATAGATGGAAGGTGGTAGTTCTTGGTGAGGAGTCAGATTTATAGACGTTGTGTATTGTTTTTGTTCTTATTGAGTTGTCTTTGTAAGGATACCATATATTGCTCTAAAATTGGTTGCACTTTCCCTATATTCACACTTTTTAATTTACCTTGATAGATGGCACCATTTTCTTGCTTACTTACCGTGGTACCTACCTTTGAGGGTTGCCACTATGGCGCCAAATGTAGCTTCCTTAGACTTTTGGCATCTATCGTGAGGCCGTGTTCGCCAACTTTATTGTATGTCTCTAAGGAGAGCGCACGACCAAGGGTCTGCCCTTCTTCCCTGCCCCTCTTCCCTGCCCCCAAATTTAGACTTGGTTCAAGGCGAATGTTATAGGGCTTCACCTCTCGTGCTTTGGAGTTGTTATCTACCAAGTGAGGGTGAGTCCATACAACCATATTCATTTTGGAGGTTTGGTGTCCTTGTTTGAGTGAGTTCAGCGTTGTGGTTGATTGCTTTTAGTCATACACTCATGATGTTTATGATAATACCTCATTGTCTTAGTTGTACATGTCTTTGCATGATAACAAATGAAGGATTTGGTGAAGAATTCCTTTATTTTCTAGAAAACAAAATATTACATATTGAAGAAAACCTTTACATATACTGGTAAAAGTATTTAACTTAAATGACCTAGTCTCTACTTTATTAGCCTATGTGGTGTCTCCCTGGGGATGAATATATTATCATTAGAGTCTCTTAGGTCGGCCAATATCGGGGGTTCTATGTTGTCTCAATGTCGTCCCTTAGTTATTTTTCAAAGATGAATCTTAGGATATCCCCACACTATTGTCGCATACATTCATCAAGTTATAATTCTCCATATTTTAGAGACTATAAATTAGTGCTTCCATCTTCGGTCCTCATCTTCAACGTCACTTTTATCCTTTCCTCCTTTGGCCTTTTTCATGGTCTGGATCGTCTTCTTCGAGATGTCTTATCTCAATAAGGAGGTCTCTTCTTTCACGGTGATTCATCTCGTCTCTTGGAGTCCTTTATTCTTTCACAATTATCTTTTTTTCGATACTCCTAAGTGTATCAGCCTAACCTTCCTTTATTTATTAGGTTTTTAATGGCACCCTTCAAGTGTACGCACATGTTTGTGTTTTGCCCATGACACTTGTGAAAATGGAAAAATATTGTCTTATTGATTCTAACTGATACTTTCATTGAGTGAGGGTTCCTCACCTCGTCTTCCTTGAAGTCAGTGTTGGCAAATTCTTATAAATAAAATTCCTTCGATGTATTGAGTGGTGAGTAGGATGCATATATGGCTTGGGGGCCTCGGTGGGTGTCTTGGTCCCCATCATCACGAGGCCAGTTAGAGTCTTTTTCAATTAGGCTATTATTTGTTGAGTTTCTTGATCATTCATTACTTTATACCTATTCTGCCCAAAGTTTTCTTCATAGTTAATATATATGAAGGCCTTGGTAATGATGTACCTCATACTTCTAGCGCCTTTCAACCCTAACTTTTCCTAAAACATACACTTCATTATGTTGTTCAATATGTCTACTTCGATATTTGCCAAAACATATAGTCTATATATTCTTGTATGGTTTCTTTCTTCTTTTGTTGGATTCCAATAAGGACAAATATCATATTAGACTATCATTTTTGGGTTGTAAACTAAGTCGTAAAAGAGTCGCACAATTTATTTCAAAAATCAATATAACCAACTATCTGACAAGGTTTTAAACCACGTCATGGCTGACCCCTAAGGGCCCGAAAAATAATTTGCACTTCAATGTGCTCGTGGCATGATAGTAGTCAAGCCTGGACTCTACGTGTTCAAAATGTTCATATAGATCCCTGGTTCCATCATAGATATCCTACTTTGGTAGTTTTTCAAGAAATTTAGGGATTGTGTTGTCAATGATGTGTATAGAGAGAGAAAAAATTTGTGATCGGGGCTTGGACTCTTGTTTGTTCCCTTGAGGACGGGGCGATGTGGATTTTTGAGGGTGGAGACTTTCAAGAGAAAGGTGACTTCCTCCTCTATACACAAATTCGTTATGCAGAGAATTGTGATCTTGGAATAGACAAAGTTCAGGAGATCTCATATTTCCCTGGTGTTGAGAGATGGCGTCACCGAGAACCATTTAAAGATGGCTGCATAACTATTATAGGGTTACATTTCTCGTGGAAAGTGACATTGACGCAGAGCAAACTGTAGATTCTATTCTACTTGAAGGAGTCTTTTAGACAAAAGATGTGTATTTCTAGTTTAGGTATTTGTGATTATAGTTAAGGTTGCTTGGAGGTTTGACCTTAAAGTAGTTGGTGCAGAGTTGGAAGATCGGTAGGATATACAAAGTTCTATGACCGATAGGGGAGGGATTATAGCCATGGGGATGACACATTTATATAAGTTATAAGGACTTGATCGACTTTCCTTGTTGGAGGAGGAAGAAATTCTCTTGCAGGAGCAAGAATAGGTTATGCCACCTTAATGGAGGTGTTGGCATTATGACGAGCCATTCTCCTATATGGATTCGATGCTACCATCGTATGTATAGAGTTAACTGAAGATCATAATAGAAGATGGACCACTTGGGTTGGTGCAATAGTTAGAATATGGTGGATTTTTGTGAAAAATGTGAAAATCGGAAGTCAATTCCTATAGATAGTGTCGATGTCCCATAGTTAAATAAGTGATCAGTGATACGACATAGGGGAGCTCATTTGGTCTGATAGAATGAACCTTTGGTATGGTGAAGTAGGGGATAAATCTGCAAGGTTAGCACTTCAGTGTCTAAGTCAGTGAGGCCGAAGAGGTGTAGCTTGAAAGAGTGGAAATGAATGAATACTTATTATGTCTCGTGGCATATATATATATATATATATATATATATATATATATATATATATATATATATATATATATATATATATATATATATATATATATATATATATATATATATATATATATATATATATATATATATGGTGTGCAGTTTAAATTGTTCTCTCTTAATCTAGAATAGATTTCGGAAGATCTTCTGATCATATTTGATATTTTCTAATTAAGCAATAACTCAAATCAGGCATGAGGCCTTCTAGCGAGACTGTACTTGTCTTCCACCCTTTAGCGAGGGTACTTTGGTCGGGTCTTTGGAGTTGGTTAGTCTTGCTGGACCTTTTCTCAATCCAGAGAAATATATAAAAGATGGGTTATGATTAATAACTTATAGTAAAATAAAATTAAAACAATATAACAAGTGAGTAAGTTAGATCCACGGTATCGAAATATGAAATATTATTGTATATATGGGATAGAATGGTCTAGAAGGGGGAGTTGAGTAGATCTTCCCCTAAATAAATATTTTTTCAAAAAGGTTTACAAAATGCACAAAGTAAAAGTTATTTTAGAAAATTTGTGTTATGTAACAAGTTCACGTATTGATTAGTAAATAGAAGATATAATGAAAATCAGACTCATGAATTATCTAGCATACAATATTTCAATTAATTGAGTTTGATTCATAACAAGATGCTTTGAATAGAATTCTATTAGTCGAATGAGAATATAATATTACATGTTTATAAAAATATAATCAACAACGATAATGTTTAGTAGAAAAGATCTAACATAGACCTAAGCTTAAATTTTAAATCTCTTCCACTATATCACAAAGCACTTCAAGATTTCGTAATCAATGATATTCACTCAATCCTATTGAAATTCCCTTGTCAAGTATTTGAACTGATGAAGGAGTTAGATACTCTAAAGTTTTATCCACAATGGTCTTCACTCGATCTTACCAAAATTTTCTTTTAGAGAAGAAATTACTCTTTTTTTGTGTGTTAGAAGTCAATCTCTAGAAACCATAACCACAATCATATTATTCAATATGATAACACGTAACAGTCTTCACAAAAAACATTAGAATACTAAATGTACCTTAAAACTACCACTCACACTTAATCTTAGAGTTGAGTAATTACAACAATGGGGGTTTTCTCTAAAGGTTGAATATGATTGGTTTTTAAAACAATCTCACACAACATCCAATTAGAAATCAAGAAATTAACACTCAATGTAGTTTTTTTTAAAGCTTGACTTGAAACATAATGTATTTGTGAATGAAATAACACTCTTGGTTCTTCAAGGATTATGAAAATATGGATTATTCACTTGTAGAGAGAAAGATAAAATGATTTATATATGTTTAGAGATAATGTTGGAACAAAATATGTTCATACTACTTGGATTTTGATGATAACAAAGTACTTAAAGAACGATTGGGTATACTAACATTTGTTTAAGTGTGCATGATCATTAAGCTTGAAATTAACTTGGCTCTGACCCAGATGAACATCTTACGAAGAGGAGCATTTGACTCATATTCTAAAGGATCATAATATTATCAACACTTGGAACCTCAGCGTGTGACGACTCAACTTTTGATGACCTGGAAACATAGTACTGCACCTATGGTCCGTACTCTGTGAAAAGAAGCTACAGCTTGTCAAAAGCCAAATTATAGAGAAAATAAATTAGGGGTTCTACCGCAAGGCTCAAGGTTATTTGACATGACTTCTTTAGTCCTCCCCAGCATCCTTATGGTCTCCATGCTTGAGAAATACTCTGTTGGATGAAGCTTTTATTCAGAAGATGAAGATCTTAATAGTACAATATTCCAATGTTTCTCTCTTGGAAACTCCTTCTCAGCAAATATACTTGTGCAAGTTATCCTCCAACATCTCTTTTGTTGCCTCTATATAAGGAGCTAAAGATTCAAACGGAGATAATACAACAAATACAACAATACAACAAATACAAAAATTTCAACATATAAAACAAGACATTACAATAAGAACAAGAATTGATCACTAAGCTCTCGTATATATTTGTTGTATTACACATAGACTTAATATTTATTATCTTTGTACATCTTAGAAATCTAAAGTAATA